TCCCAAGCCCGATCAAGGAAGGAGGAGAGTTGAAAACCGTGGCAAGTCTCCGTAAAATTTAGTTACCTGCCACTCATGGTATTCACGCCATCAAAAATCACACCGGCTCGGTAGTTCGTCGCCAGGGTTACCAAGGGTCGCACAGGCTGTTGAGGGTCTGAGGTAGACTGCGAAAAGTTGGTGATCAGAACCTGCTCATTGTCCTCTGCCAACTGGGGGCGTGACAGCACACCGACGGCTGACGAAGACGACGGAACGACCACGATGATACCAGTCAGTAACGGAGTCACTACCCGTCCTGAACGAAGGAGGCAGACAGCGAGATTCCACTATAGAACGTCAGAAAAGGGATCATGACAACGACACCACCTGTAGGATCTAAAAGTCGGAAACTGATTCATTCGTTAACGCTAAAAATGGAATAAACAACTCTTCAAAGCCGGCAGGATACATCAATCACGGCAGCCTTTACGTTAAATCGTCCGTTTTTGTTGCAGTTATGGGTCATAACTTAGATGCCTAATTTTGCATGTATGTGGGCAACAATTCATTTATTGACTTCAGCTTATGATTTCGGAAAATTCTTGAAGAGCAATATATATCTTTCACAGATTCGGTCATGTGTCACACTATGCTTTGTCAGTGCATTTGTTTCTGATATCTCGCTTTATTCATATAAGTACGTATCTGTAAAGTGTACACAGTTTGCTCTTTTTATTTCAGATGAACCGATGTTAATTTCCGTATTAAATGCGCATTTTTGGCTCCTTTGAATACACTGAGAAACAGGTTTTATTCAGGATCTCATCGTAGTTGTGTACCTTAAACTTGGATTCACCGCATGGAAAAATATCCCACTGTATGCAAGAATGACTTGTACCTGATTCAAATAAATTACGTACCAAGGTGTACAGGAATTCTATGATAGCAGTTTCAACAGGAATCATTCAGGATGTCGATTAAATTCGTTTTCCCTCACAGAATTTTAAGGATTCTGACATGACAGTTCATCATTAATATTGGTGAATCGGTTTTTGGTTGATGATTTATCTGTGATGGCAATTAATAGTCACTTATCAATGAATGACTTTTCATGTGCTGCGCAATTATCAATTTTGGTCATACCGTATTTGCAGTTTTCTCCCTGAGTTTGAGAGTTTCAGCTGATAGTACATGAGATTTAACTTTCCTCTGATGACTGCTCAAGCATCCTTTTTGCTTCATTCAATATCCTATGTTTGCAGATGGGGAACATCTAAAAGATGTATTACGCGATGAAGTGGGACAAGGACTTACTGTAATCTCATTCTTATTATGTTGCATTTTTTCAGTAAGCACTTACGTACGCTTAATGCAACTTTTGTAAGATCTTTTCAGAATCGATTTACTGGATATTATAGTTGGTCGTAAAGAGAATTATAAAAAAATTCGTGATGCTTTCGGAATAACAAGCAGCACGGCCTTGAGCGAGTGTGTATTTCGTTCGAGTAAAAGCCTCGCGTTTGTGAGGCCACGAAGACCTTTATTGTTTAGCCTAATACACATGTGCAATTTTAACGTCTATGAAGTGCAAGTGCTCAGGCACCACTGAGCCGTGGCATGCCAAGCCAGCTCCCCTAGTCATCTAGAAACAGAGGGAGAAGAAGAGAGTGTGACGCTGCCACATGACCCGACATAATGATACCTTTTCAGAGTATTCTCCACGGTAGTATTGCCATAAATAGTTTTCAATCGGTTGTCAATATTTTGTAAAAGAGTGTTACTCGATGCAATAGAACGTCGACCTTGTCTAACCTCGTTCTTACTCGATTTCAGCTATTTCATAAACAGCCGTGTATCCGCTGGAAAAGTCGTTTTGCACTTCGAATTTTCTCAGCCGAAGAGTAAGTCGTAAATTTCCTGGTGTTTCCTTTGAACCAAGCAGCCATGAAGCTCATTTACATCTGTTGTGTGCTTCTGGCCACTGACCGTTGTATATGAAATATGGATCGGGTGATTTGCAAGTTGAATTTAAATGATGGCTCGGATAATTACGGTCATGA